CTAAGCAGAATGCCTCTGCCACAACTGCCTGTGCACAGCTTGGATTCTGCTGCAGAAAACGTCCACATCTCTGCAAACATGGTCACCAGCAGCAAACAGCCCAAACTGCGGGAAGATACCTCTGCCCCACTTCTGCCTTCAAATATTGTGCAAGCGCATCCAGTTGGCAGGAACGAATTCATATCCAGAAACCTGGCTGCAAAGGAGTTTGGGCAACTTCAGACTTTGGTCTAGGAGTGAGATCTTGCCAATACCTCATGTGCCTGGTATTGATAAAAATGGGGCCCAGCTGGTGGGGCTCAGTGGCTGAGCATCAATCTATGAACCAGGAGGTCATGATATGATTCCTGGTTAAATTTCGGGCTTGATCCTCAGTAGGGGCGTGCAGGAGGCAGCTGATCAATGATTCTCATCATTGATATTTCTATCTATATCTCCTTCTTCCTTCCTCTGAAATCAGTAATATTTTTTAAAGTGGGGTCATGTTGTATCTATGTGTTATTAAGAGTTTTTCACTTCATAGATCACTAATATCTTTCCTGTTAAAACTATACTTAGAGAACATTATTTACTTATCATTCATTTTAATTGATCTCAGAGAGACGAAGTGAGAGAGAGAGAAACATTCTTCTGTTGTTTCCTGCACTCACAGGACTGGGTATTGAATCTGCAACCTGGGCATGTGCCCTGACTGGCAATCAATTCACCACTTTCTGGTGTATGTGATGATTCCATGCTGGTACCCTCACCCCAAATTCCAGCCTCCAGAACTGTGAGAAAAACACATGTCTGTTGTTTAAGCCACATAAATTTATGATAGTTTGTTATGGCTATCTGAGTGACTAATCTATACTAATAAAAGGGTAATATGCTAATTAGACCAGGTGAACCAGACATCTTCCAGGAATCCTTTTGGACAAAGCCACGGTGGTGGGGGCCAAGGCAGAGACAGTTAGGGGCAATCAGGCCAGCAGGGGAGAGCAGTTAGGGGCAATCAGACAGGCAGACAGGTGAGCAGTTAGGAGCCAGCAGTCTCAGATTGTGAAAGGGATTGGGCCCTGTGCATCCGGCAGTCGGACATCCCCCCGAGGGGTCCCAGACTGGAGAGGGTGCAGGCCAGGCTGAGGGACCTCCCCCCATGCACGAATTTCATGCACCAGGCCTCTAATATAATAATATTTGAAAATAATAATACTTGTTCTAACCATCTCAGAGTATATAGCTATGAAGATTTAAATGGACTAGGAGATGTGAAAGTGCTTTGCTAATTGCAGAAACCTAGCCATATCTGAATTGTCATTACCACTAAACTTGTCTGTAAAAAAAAAAAAGAATATGCAAATCAGAGCGAAATGCATTCAATTAAGCAATTTCATTCATATTTTTGATAGAAGAAAATGAAACATTTTGGTGTCACAGATTAGAATAAAATACTGATGAAATGTTTAAATTTACTCAAAGAAAGAGGACAATCCATTTATGAATCAAAACTAACATTAGGATTCATGAGATAAACTTCAAATTATGGTTCTCATATTTTTACATTAAGATTATTAGAATGAATTATCAGGTTGATACAATAGAAAGTTTAAAAGAACAGAAATAACTTTTAACAAAGTGAGGAAGTACATAGACTTTGGAGTTGGAAGATGAAGCTCTGTAACATGAAAAAGTGCCTTATCTATGCTACCCAATACAGAAGCAAGAGTTCAAATGGCTACTGAGTACCTGAGTATGGCTTAGTGTGATTGAAGACCTGGGTGTGTAATTTTGTTTCATTTTAAGCAATTTAAATTCCAATTTAAA